ATAACCCCGCACTGCTCCAAAGACTTCTATTGCCAATTCAGTGCTAGCATCTGATGCACTGCGTTGTCTTACTCCTCCTCCTTCTGTTTATTGAGGTATAACATACATAACGTGAATAAAGTACACTCATTGTAAATGTATGAGATTTTACACTTTTAAAGACGTAAATAACCACCACCGAGGTCAAGATTAAGAATGTGCCCAACCTCCTGGATACCTATGTGCATATTAATACCCAACCCCCCACACACAGGTACCCATTATTCTGATTTTATTTTTACTACAAACTAGCTTTGCCGGTTCTTGAACTAAATATAAATGGAATCATACTTCATACTGTAAGTAGTTTTGTGTCTGTCTTCTTATGGTTAATACAAAGAAATTCATTTAGTGAATGAATTCACATGAAATGCATTCAGTTTGTTGCCTATATCAGGTGTATATTTTTAATAGCTTTATTGTGGTATAACTGACATACAATAAATTGCACATACTTGATGGGTAAGATTTGGTAAGTTTTATAATATGTCTTCACCCAGGAAACCATCATCATCATCAAGATAATGTACATATCCATCACCCCAAAAGGTTCTCTGTCCCCCTTGGTAATTCCCCTTCCTCCTCTCCTCTTATCCCCAACAAACACTGATATTCATTGTCATTATAGCTTAATTTCCATTTTCTAGAAGTTTATATAAATGGAATAACACAGTATGTCTATGTTTTTATACATATTCTTCCACTCAGAGTAATTATTTTGAGATTAACCCATGTTGTAGCATGTAAAAATAGTTCTTTTTTATCACTGAGTAGTATTTCTTTGTATAGATAAACCCGTTTATCCATTCACCTGTTGATGAACATTTGGGTTGTTTCTAGTTTATGGCAAATAAAGCTGCTACAAACATTCATGTACAAGTCTAGGTATGGATATATATTTTCTTTTCTCTTAGGTAAATACTGGATCACATGATAGGTATATTTGTAACTTAATTATAAAGAAACTTCCAACTCTTTTCCATTTTTATATCCCCTCCAGCAGGGTATGAGAGAACCACGGTCTCCACAAGCCATCACCACTCTGTATGAACCGTCTTTTTAACTTTAGCCAGTATAATAGGGATGTAGTTGTATATCGTTGTGCTTTTAATTTGTATTTCCTTAATGACTAATGTTGTTGAGCATCTTTTCATGAGCTTATTTGCCAACCATGTATCTTCTTTGGTGAAGCATCATATCAAATATTTTGCTTACTTTGTATCAGGTTGGGTTATTTTTTTATTATTGAGTTTTGAGAATTCCTTATAATATATTCTGGATATAAGTCCTTTATCAAATATATGTTTTGTAAATGTTTTCTCTCAGTCTGTGGCTTGCCTCTTCATTCTCTTTAGTGTTCTAGAACAGAAGTTAGTAGTTTTGATAAAGTTCAATTGGTCAATTTTTTCTTTTATGGATTATGACTTTGATGCTTTATCTAAAAAAAAGTTACCAGTATTTTCTCCTTTTGTTTTCTTCTAGAAGGCTTAAAGATATAAGTTTTAGGGAATTCATACAACTTAACAAAAGGAAGATAAACAACCCAATCAAAAAATGGGCAAAGGACCTAAATAGACACTTTTCTAAAGAAGACAGAAGAAAGGCCAAAAGACATATGAAAACATGAATATATCCCAAGAAACCAAAAACACCAATCAGAAAGGATATATGCACCCCTATGTTCATAGCAGCACAATTCACCATAGCTAAGATTTGGAAACAGCCTAAGTGCCCATCAGCAGATGAGTGGATTAAAAAACTGTGGTACATCTACACAATGGAATACTACACTGCTGTAAAAAAGAAAGAACTCTTACCATTTGCAACAGCATGTATGGACATGGAGAGCATTATGCTAAGCGAAATAAGCCAGTCAGAGAAAGATAAATATCACATGATCTCACTCATTTGTGGAATACAATGAACGACATAAACTGATGAACAAAAATAGATCCAGAGAGAGAGAGAAGCATAGAACATATCATCAAACCTCAGAGAGAAGGCACGGGTGGGGGGCAGGGGTAGTAAGAGATCAACCAAAGGATTTGTATGCATGCATATAAGCATAACCAATGAACACAGACAGTAGGGAGGGGGTGAGGGCATGTGCTGGGGAGTGCGAGTGGCCAGGGAGAGGTCAATGGGGGGGAAAGGAGACATATGTAATACTTTAAACAATAAAGAAATAATAAATAAATAAATAACTAAATAAAGTCTAGGTCCAAAGTCTCATCTAAATATAACCTAAGTGAGTATGGATAAAACTGAAGGTATGGTTCATTCTGTGGCAAACTGCTCTCCAGCTTAGAACCTGTGAGATCAAATATGTTACATGCTTCCAAAATACTGGTGAACAGGCACAGGACATTCCCATGCAAATGGGAGAAAGAAGAAAGTAGAAAGGAAAGAGAGGTTCTAAGCAAGTATAAAACCCAGCAGGGCAAATTCCATTAGACTTTAAGGCTCAAGAATAATCCTCTTAGGCTTGCTGCTATGCCATCCAGGCCACTAGGGCAGTGGTCCAGCCTGCAGCTTTGCTGGACAGAGGTTGGGGCCCCAAGGCTCCAGACTGTCCTGCCCCGACAGCTTTGGGCAGCCCCCCCCCCACTGTGGCTCTCCAGGATTGGGGTCCTGAGACCACCTCATCCAGCCACTGGAGCAGCACCTGGGAAAGCCAGCTGCTCAGCACCAGAGTGCAGGGAGAGGAGCCACCAGGGGAGGTGGTGCAGAGGCGAGCCAGGTTCAGAAGAACCAGCAGCCCCTCCTTTGCAGTTTCCCATTGTCCTAGACAACAGCTCCTGGCTTCTGTCAAGATGGCTTACTGTTCTCCTTACAAATGGTCTCTCAGCAACACCCTTAGCGTGCTTTCCTGAACAGGCTTTCTCATTCATTTCAATATAAATAAACTGAGAATTCTCCAAATCATTAAGTTCTATGTTCTGCTTACTTTCCAATTAACAATTCCATCTTTAAGTCATTTCTCTCTTCTCACATTTTACTACAAGCAGTCAAGAGAAACCAGGCCATTGTTTCAACACTTTCATTAGAAACTGCTTAAGCTAAACATCTAACTTCATCACTTACAAGTTCTACCTTCCACAGAACACAAACACAGTTCAGCCAAGCTCTTTGCCACTTTATGACAAGCATGGTCTTTCCTCCTGTTTCCAATAACATGTTGCTCATTTCCATTTGAGACGTCATCACAATGACACCTTTCATATTTGCACCCACAGTGTGTTAGGTGAGTCAAGTATTGTCTGAGGCTTTCTCTACAGTTTTTTTTTTTCGTACTGAGCTCTCATTGGAATTGCCTTTAAAAGTCCATTCATGGCCATGTGAGCTTTTCTGGTATGCAACCTCAAACTCTTCCATTGCCAGTTCTAAAAACAAGTGCCATAGATTGGGTGCTTTATAAACAACACAATGTATTTCTCACAGTTCTTGGGGCTGGGAATCAGTGATCAGGGTGCCAGCGTGGAGCCTTCTTCTGGGTTGCAGACTTCTCACTGTATCCTCTCATGGCAGAGCAAGCTATCTCAGGATTCTAATAAGGATGCTAATTCCATTTGCTCCCATGACATATTCACCACCCAAAGGTGCATGGGGGTGGGGTAGGGTTGTGCGCAAATTTCCAACATGATGTTTAGACCTTGGCCAGGTTTTCCATTCATTCAATCATTCAACAAGTATTTTATTGAGCACCTATAATATTCTGATTCCAGGAGCTGAGAATATGACAGTACACAAGGTAGGGCAGATCCCACTTTCATGGAGCTGACATCTGAGTGGGGCATACAATACAATACAGGTTTATATCAAGCCTAGAAAAACAAAGCCAGAACATAATACCCAAACCTACAAGAAATTAGACTAATCAGACAAGAATATTAAGAACTTCTCCCAAGAAGGTTCACATCTAGGCAAACCCGTACACACTCTTTTCTCCGTCCCCTTCTCTCCTGGACTTCCCCTGTGAAAACCCCGTCTCAGGAAAGGTTCCAACCGACTCAGTCACGCTTAGATACACACAGCTCCGAAGTGTCGGTGTTTTGTTACAGGTAGACATGAGATGGCAGAAAGGAACTCCACGGACCCTCTCAGAGTCATATTGTGCATCTACCTCTAAGGAAACATCCATCACGCACCTGCACGAGGCTGGTTTAGGCAACAGTGAATAGTTCATTTACTATGAAACACACAGAGCCTGGAGGGAAGTGTGCTGGATACTGTCTGTTTGTCCCTCCAGATGCTCTGTGACCCTTCTCCACCCAGCTCTGTGGCCCAGGAGGCTGGCCTTCAAGGACTGCATCAGGGCTTTTGTCTTCTGTCTTTGGTTGGATTCAGCTAAAGGGAATCACCACAGGAGAAAGAGGGGAGGAGGAGAGAGAGGGCCAGGTCCTGATTTCCCTGCTCCCTCCCTGCCTGGCTGCTGGTTGGCAGTGGCTGTGTCCTCTATCAGGAATCATGGCTCCCTATTAGGGTTCCTTTTCTATAGTCACAGCCACAGCTATCTATAGCTACAGCCGTCTCTCTAATCATCCACACCTCTTGCCCCTGGTGGTGCCCCTAGAGCAGCAGTCGCCAACTTTTCGGACCTCACGGGCCACCAGTGGTCCGCGGGCCACCAGTTGGTGACAGCTGCCCTAGAGGGCAAAGCTCCATGCTGGTGCCCACCATTCCCAGGTATGTAGTCTTCTCACTGCCCTCTCTCACCTGCCCCATTCTAAAAGGCACAGGCTGCAAAGCCAGCACCACCCTCTAATCAGAGACTTGGAGCTTCATTTTTAAGCTCCAAGGACTTAGGGGGGTTTGGAGGGCTGGTGAACATCCTATAAATGGTGTTTCCTTGCAGAACCAGTGGTGACTCACCTCCAAATAGAACAAAACTCAGGATGGCGACTAGAGTGACACCAGCCCCCTGTGCAGAGAAGAAAAGCCTCTGAATGGCCATGGCTTACCTTTCTGTGTTCAGTGGAAGGATGTGAGCCGATGAGCTGGAATCCTAACAGCAGCAGGTAACCCAGGACTCTGAGAAGGAAAAACAGCAACAGGCAGGACTGTGAGCATGTTCCAGGCAGCAACACCAGCAGAAGGAGCATTTCCGTCTCATCATTGGAAGGGAGACACCAGTCCAACCCGGGGTCTGGGATGTGACCCAGTGAAGAGGCAAAGGACAGCCCCCGGGAGGGAAGGCAGCGGACTGTGGGCAGGGCTGTGGCACCGGACAGATCTGGGATCAAACCCAGCAATACCACTTACCAGCAGGGTTTCTAGGTCAGAACAGTTAACCTCTTCGAGCCCCGTCTTCTTCCTTGTAAGAGGGGATAACACAGAAGCTGGCCCCAAGGGCTGGGGAGGACTGAATGCAATAATGTGCCATGTCTGACACAGTAAGTGCTAGTGCACGCTGGGTGCTCCCGGAGCCGGTTAGGTCTGGGCTCTGGAGCCAGGCCAGGGGAGTTCCTCTCCCACACACAGGCTGTCCTCGGAGCCTTTTCCTTGCCAGTCCTTGGTCCTTGGTGTCACATATGTTCCCCCGGGGCGGGATTAGCTGTGTTAAGCCCCACTGTCACCAGCCCTGATTAGGGCTTGTCATCAAATAAAGGGAAGGTACGGAAATAGGAGCCAGCTGGCCCTGAGACAGCGAGTGTGCTGGGAGAGCATGAGCTTTGGATTCAAACACATCGAGGCTAGAATCCCAACTCCACCCTTCCCATCGGGGTGATGCTGGGTCAGCTGTGTCTGCGCCTCCCTGTGCTCATCTTCTGTGAGGATCACTGATGCTGACAGAGGTGAAAACTCCCGCACAGACAGGCAGGCAGGCAGAGGAGACAAGTATTGTCAAGTAATTAAATGCCCAAAGCCCCCTGATTTCAAACCAACGGCTTGTTTTAAGCATCCCTACAAAAGGCCTTTGGCCCTACTGAGCTGTCTTGAATCCTTTCTAGAGTTTAACCCTGAGGACAGAAGGTAAGCAACCCAGTGGTCCTCAACCTGACTGAGACCTCCAACAGAAGTGAGAGATAAAAAAACACTGCCTTGTCCAAGAAAATACACTGTGCGGAGGTGGAGGGGAAGAAGGAAACCTGTCTGAATCTGGGCTTAAGGCTTGTGGAGTTAGAAGAGGCTCCTACCATCTCTAAGAATCCTAAATTCCACCCAAATCCCCATGTTGGATGTAAATGAGCCCGGCCCTAACAGACCACACAGCATGGATATGACAAACTGGTTAGAGACTGTGCTGGGGCGGGAAGCAGGGTGAAGGGACATGCAACCAGGTGTTAAATGCATCCTTCCTGCTGTTGTCTTCGAGCTGCAGCTGAGGCCCCAGCACAAGAACCAAGCGTATTCCATGTGCACACATTCCAAAGGGAGGGGCTGACCGTCTATGAGGACTGGAAAAGGATGTGCACCTCCCCAAGATGTCTTCCAGCAAAGGGGCAGGGGTGTCTAAAGGAGTGGGCGTGCACATAGAGGTAGAAAAAACACAGCTTTTTTCTAATGGTATCCTTACTGGATCCAATTTGTGCTCTAAACCAAGAAACGTGCATCATGACTCAGGAGTCTATGTGCTTTGGTTACATGACCTTGGGCAAATCACCTCTGTGCCTCAGTTTCCTCATCTGTAAAATGGAAATAATATTGCCTGCCCTGCTGACCTCAAATAAGTGAATTGCGAGAAAGCACATTATGAACCATGCCTACAAATCTGAATGATTTGTAACACATCCTGGCACTGTTACTCATTTAAAAAAACAACAACATAGCTTGGTGTGGTTTTGTTAAAAAAACAACAAGCAGCAGCTCTATAAATGTGTTACACCCCAGGCCCTCAAAGTTCTTGGCAGACACCTAAGCCACACATCTATAATGTAATCAGAAGCAATTCTGCATAACTGCTCATCCCAGGTTGCACTTCCAAAACTTTCAGGGCTCTTGAGGCAGGAAAGGGCGAGAAAGACTGGAGGAGGGAAGAGTCTAAGTTTGTCCCTGTCTCAGAGGAACTGCTCTCCAGGTTGCCTGGTCAACTGTACTCCCAGATATTCCTGCAGCTTGTTCCCTCACCTTCGGGTGTCTTATGGAGAAAAGACCCCCTGGCCCTGAAGAAAACAGCACTTCTCCCCCAGGCCGGGCAATATTTGTCTCCAGCACTTACTATCTCACAGACGATGACTTTATTCATTTAAAGTACACCTCTGCCCACTGGAGTATAAGCTCCAGTAGATTTGAGAATTGTTTTATCTCTACTTTATCCCCAGCAACTAGCAGTGTCTGCTATATAGTTAGAGCTCAATTCATTGAATTAATGAATGATGTTACATCATCTTGACAACCTTTGAAATGTCAAGATAAGTGGAAATAGTGGGAATTACCATATTAAAAATGTCCAAAGTAATCTGGGAAGTTTTAAAAAGTTCTCTCATGAAAAACTTATAAAAATCAGTTACATTTTTTAATTTCGATGTGATGCCCCAAAATTCATTCTCATAGGACTGACACAAGATATGGCAGCAAAATGTTTGCTAGTGCCGCTTGTTACAAAAATGCAACACTAGTAGTATTTAGATGTTCAAATGCTTCTTTTCTTGATTGAGCTGGGCCCCAGTGAGGCTAAAATGCACAGGGTACCCAATACAATTCATCCTGGAATAAAATCTTAGTTACTAAATGGGCTCTGGTCTGAATGGAATAGAATAAATCCCCGCAACGGGGACATTATTCTGTGGCCGCAATAGCAGCAGCACTAGCAATATATAACCCCGGGGGCCAGAAGAAACTCCACCAAGGGCCGTAAGTTTCCCACCCCTGCTCACAGACTCTGTTTTGGGATACCCCGCCCTGCTCACACATACCTATCTAATTGGTAGTCTGTAGCTGTGCCCACACCTTTTCAACACGCCAACAATCTAGCCCAAATCCTTGTTCCTCCTGACCCAATTCGAAATTAATGTTCAGGGAATGCGAGAGCATGTGTGTGTCTGTGTGTGTGCAGCTCCAGCTCGTGTGTTATTTCACTTTGATAGTTTGCTTTGGCAAACTGCTCCCAGCTTGCAACGTTTTGACAGACTGAAGGCTACCAGGGCCTTTGGCAAACAAATCACAGTTCCCTCCGAGCAGTGGGGGAAGCCACATTCCTACCAAGACCATCTGATTCACCTTGTAGGCGAATTTCACACCCATCAGAAAAAGAAAGAAAAAGATATGCCATCTCCCCAGGGTTGTTCTAGAGTTTAAACACACCATCATTCCGTTTCCTCACGTAGAAAATAATTTGCATTGAAATTTGGTACAAGATCTACATCATGGAACTGGGGCTCTGGACTTCTGTGTTTGCCTTGCCCCCCCACCCCCACACCCACCCACGATCCTCAACCCCAGTGAGGGTGGGTCATGTCACAGCCACTGTGTTCCTCAATTAACTCAACACCACTTGAGCATATCAAGTAACAAAACAAGGAACACAGAAAAAAAACCTTAACTTCTTTTCTTCTTTAGTTAATACAACCCAAGAGATATTTGGGGAGCAACCTGATCACTAATAAAATTATACCGACCTTAACAAAAGAGAGCCAAAATCTTAGCATTGAAGTGAAATCTGTACCTACTGCACTCTGGAGATCAAAAAAGTTTGCTAAGCATTCATTTTACATCTTCAGCTCAATCATCTGCCTTCCTCAGACAGCAGTTAAGAGTAAAAAAAGCAATGATCTTGGTTAGCGATACTTGATGGTTACTACCAATATCAATTCTTACAAGTATTATTGCATTTAATCCACAACCATCCCATCAGATACTTTTATTATACCCATTGTAGGTGAGGAAATTGAGGCACAGAGAGGCTAAGGCATTTACTGAAGGGGAAAAGCCTAATTCCCAGGCCAGCAGTCAGACCCTTGGCCTGGACCCTTAACCACTGTGCTCTGGGGCCTCATTGGAAACAACACACCTTTACACCAAGTATTCGCATTTGATCACATCACTTTCCTTCCCCAGTCTTATGAGACTGTGGCTTCACACATCTTGTTTTACTTTCTGTCACTGCTTGCAAAAATAACCAGAAAATGAGTGAATGCAATACAATCTCGTTTATCCAGCCTCACTAGAGAACATTAGAAGTTTTAAAACAATTGAAATTAACCATTTAAACTTCAACCTTGAAAGAAAAATCATTCTATTTATTCCCTCTGCTTTCTCATACAACATACGCTGAGCTTAAGTAACCTTTCTTAGATGGGTCACCAGTGTGCATATCTACCAATCTGCGCAGCAGAAGGTGGTGGCCCTGGAGCAGAGAGGTTGAGAGCCCAGTGCCTGGGGCTCTCTAAATCCCACTGGCCTTTTGCTGTTACCTCCCCGCTGTCAGGCATTGCCTCCTGGACTGTGGATGAGCCTGTGTACTCCTAATCGGCTCCCTTCAGGTCGGCCTTGACCTTGGAAACCTTTAGACAACCAAGCTGCAGCCAAACCAAGACCATACAGACTCTGGAGAAAGACCTGCCTGGCTTTTGTGGGGCAAATATTTCCATTTTAAAGCATGGACTTTGGGACACCTATTCTAACTGCATATTGGTTTTTATTGCTTATTTCCAGCTTATCCACCCTTGCAGCCATTTCTGTTTTCTGGACCAGGGCCTCTGGAAAAGTGAGGTGTTCTGTCACTGCATAGCTTTTCTGGGCACAACATCCTTTGGTAAATTTCCCTGCTCTCCAGAAAACAGTTCTGATACATCTTTGCAGCTAGCAGAGCACTCAGCAGAGTCCACACTCAGGGATAATAAATAGGAAGTGAATCAAAGGATGGCATGATGGAAAGAAGAAGGGAGAAAGAGGGAGGAAGTATCAGCCACTAAAAAAATGAAAGTGCTGCTGTGACAGACACTTTTCATCAACAAAGTGTTTTCTAAGTGCGTCCAGAATTCCGTCATAAACATAGAAGAACTGGGAAAAGAAACACAATCGTGAAAGGAGGATTTCTATAAGTTGGAGTCATTGGTTCTGATCCCAGGAGGTTGGTGTTAACTGAGGTC